AGGATGCGGTCGCGACCTCTTTCCAGATGCTCCGCGCCTCCGCGCCCCCGCCCCCGTCTCACCCTCCCAGCCCGCACGCCAAGGGGCGAATCTCGCCCTTGCGCCACCCCACGGAAACGCGTCTTCGGGCCATTCGAGCAGCTCCAAAAAGCTCGCAGCCAAATGGAGAAGAATCCGGCGGTACGTAATGCTAGCGACGTAACACCAAACCCACATCTGAAGGCATCTTTAGGAGTTGATAAATTACGAAACAGCAAGAAAGCAAGTGAGATTAACCTCTCTAATACATTGCTATCCAGTACATGATCCGAGGTAAAATTGAAAGATTACGGATGAACACATACAGGACACATTACGTTTCTATTTCTTAAAATGTTACACCGATGCAATAAGCAATTACGCTTATAACAAAATCTGTAACCCTGAGCTTGAATTCAATTATCGATCTAGGGATTCTTTCAAACTACTTTCGAAACATGATTATTCCAATACAACAATAGTGTTTGGAGCAATGTAATTGCAAAATGCAATTGCAATTTGCATACAATTCAACTGAATTACATACAAGTCAATGACATCCACTTTTTCTGACAAGTTATATAAATAATTTAATCACTATTAATAGCAAAGTAATTATATAAGAGAAATGTTAATAAAGACAGTGTTTTCGCAATTAGTTTTCTTCTCAGAAACGGAGTCGACCTGTTTACATCTCTTATTTTGCGCCCAGGCAGCCTTCGCACAGAGAATTTCCTTGCATAGTTATCTTTTCGATAAGACAAGACTCCGGAAAAATAGATTAGGTTCCCTCGACAGAAACTAAACCTTAAGTGCCCATGTTCAGATAAAATTTCTTCTGTGTTTGCAGGGAGAAAAGAAGTGAAGGATCTCAGCGGCTCGCTCAGGGCGCACTCGGAATGCACGACGCGACGTGGCGACGTCCCATTTGCTGCCAGAGTGGCCCCAAAAAGGATAAAGGCCCTTGGTCACATGTGGAATTTGAATAATCTACTCGATGTTCACAGTATATCCTAAGTCCTTCACTTAACAAGAAATAGAGAGACAAGAGTTAAGAAAAGAGTTAGGGAGTGGAAGGACAGACGAGGCAGTGGAAGGACAGAGAAATTATAGAGCAAGAGTGAGTGAGAAAGAGAGAGGGGGAAGGCAGACTGCACCTAGACACAAGGGCGAGAGAGCGAGTGAAATCTATCTACCTACATGTGCTGCGAAAACTCAAGGCGTTCGGAAGTGGTTAACAAGTTTGCATGCTACTAAAGCATATTCCACGCTTGGAAGTCCGAAGTACGCGGAAGTGCGTGAGCGTGTTCGTGCGCTCCTTACACGCACAGCTCATGACGCCGGGTCCCTTAGAGTAGCGCCCACGACCTGTGTGAGCTTTACACCGGACACAAAGTACATTGCGTAAGAAGGAGGGGGGAGGAGACAACGACACTTCTCCCTTTCTCTATTACAGCTCTGATACCAGCCGGTTAGGAGTACAGATTGTGCTCACGTCATTGTGTAGGCGTCTCCAAGCCTTAGACAACATCGCCGTCTTAGATAACCTGTTGCTATCGTGGCGGGTAATGTCGACTAGAACTTCCTTTCCCACCCCACCCGCCACACATGGCAGCGCGCGATGTCCTCCCGTGTGAGCCAGGTGCCACACCAGGTGCTCCATCCTCGGCCTTGGGGAACGATATGTGTGCGTACAAGGACAAAGCGTTTTTCCCGGGCGCACGGCTTGAAATTGCACGAAGACACGCACACGTGTTATAGAACGCGCAAATCTCCTGAGAAACAAATGGATTCATTTAACAATATGCACCATTTCTCTTCTTCACATGTAGTGCTATAGAAAGCGTTCGAGCGCTTACTGGGAGATCGTGAGCAGACCAGAGGACTTAGGAGTTCGCGTGGGCATGGGGAGGAGCGACGTTGAGTAGGGAGAAGATGAATTGGTACCCTGGCTGCAAAGGCGTGAGAACAGTGACAGTGCGCACCTGTAATTAAAAGCGGCTTCCGAAAAATTCCGGCGGTACGGAATGCTGGCGACGTAACAGCAAACCCACATCTGAAGGTATCTTTAGGAGTTGATAAATTACGAAACAGCAAGAAAGCAAGTGAGATTAACCTCTCTAATACATCGCTATCCAGTACATGATCCGAGGTGAAATTGAAAGATTACGGATAAACACACACAGGACACGTTACTTTTCTATTTCTTAAAAATGTTAAAGCGATGCAATAAGCAATTATGCGAATTGCTTATTGACGTAACACAAGAAACATTTTAAAGAGTTATTTAGATCAATATGGATAAATCCTCCCGGATTCAAGAAACTATCTTCGTCTGCAACGTGAGTTAAAGTCAATGTTGAAAGAGCTATTTAAAATTTACAATTTCGTGAGCTCATTAAAGACACACTCAAATGAAATATTATATCATATCCTCCTTGCAAATTATTCTCAGTCCGTAGCCTTTAATTGCATTCATTTATCAAATTCATGCGATTCCAACTGCCAACACAATCCTTGAGAAAAATCTAATAACGACTGCCGTTGGGTCACGCTATTCGTTAAAAGGAAATGTGCACTTATTCTCGCTCAAGAGTGAATTATTTTCCCGGAATGCCAGGCAGCAAGAATCCCTCATTACTCCTTCTATGCCCTATATTACGATATCTTACGTTACACTCGATGCCTCCGAATTCAGAATGCTGCCTTATTTGCTTCAATTGATTCGCAATGACCTGAGCACCGGGGCAGAAGCAGCCAACAGGCGGCTCACGCGGAAAATCCCAACACCACCAGCCCCATGGTATTCAATATACGCAAGGGAGTCAACGCCTGCTTTCGAAACTGCAGCAGGTGCTCATCTCGTGACACGCGGTCCTGTCCAGATAAGATTGTATCACATATCGGCACTATTAAAGTGAGAAGATAACTGGATTGATGGTCTTGTAAAGGTTATCCTGCATTAATACTGCACCAGCAGCAGCGATATACGAATAAATTGTTTACGCCTTACATCAATTTCGCTATACCACAGTTCTCACAGACCTCTTTATAAAATACAGCGATTAATTGTCCAACTGACTTTGATGATTTAATTTCTCTTCAATGAATTACTATACTTGTCCAAGATTACTATACTTGTCAATTTAGGCCAAAAGTGGATGAGGAACCCACGTGTTTATACATATTTTATACATTTCTGCATAAACATTTCTTTTGGTACAGCCATGTCGAATCACCTCGTCTTTTCCAATTGCAAAGTTATCTACAAACGCGATTCTCTTTTCTACTCCGCAGGAAATAAATATGAAGAGAGGCAAGGAGAGCATTAAGATATCTCAATATCAAACGTCCTTGTGTCTGATAAGCATTTTCATAATTTTGATACGTTCTTCGATTCTGGTGCTTCACACTGCTGGAATTTCCTGGCTTATGGAAAAAAGGCAAAAGCTAATGCAACAGTGAATTCCAAATGCACAAATAAACAAGAAACCTCAAGAAGTAGATAGAACACTAGCTATACAGTGAAATAACTAACAATCTAAGCTCTTGTGGCAGGCGGACAATGCTATAGAAATTATTTGTAGAATAAAACCACTACGAGCGCAGGGGCACGTAGCTTCCCAGAAGCGATTACTTATCAGACTCCTTGATAAAATCTGACGCGCTGTGTGCGCGGGAAAAAGCGCATCGTAGACGCCTTCTCGCAACGCGAGAGCCGACTGCGCTAACAACCCCTCCCCGCGCGCTACTACTCTGCCGTCACCGGCCGGCCGGGCACACTACAAACACTACAAGTCGTAGTGCAATTACACCTGCAAACTACACTACGAACTGTGAATTCCAGGCGGCCGAAATATTTCGATTAAAGCACCAACATCAGTAGACAAATTGTTCCGCTCCATTAATCTTCAAGTGATTATATTATTCTACCAAAATATATTTGGTGTATAAGAAGATTAAGTTTGAAAAAAATTTGCAAGTTGTTATTCCGCTCTTTAGAATCAGCCTAACGTCAAATTCTGCCACAATTTAATTGTCCATGGATTAAAGTACTGATGAACACACTATCATACCTTCGTTTCTGTATAATTATGTATCCAAATATATTTACTGCCACTGACATACAGACATGGGGTTTGCACTAATGTGGTTTCGATTTTACGTTAATCATTGCAATATGGTAGAATTATTTTTTGGGATTGTAATGTATGTATTATATATCACTATTAATAAACATTAATATTATTAATAGTAATAGTAGAATATGCATTACTTCTTATTACTGTCATTACATATGGTTGAGTAAATCAATGTCGTATTTCATAAAAATATTTAATCTTTTCACCTGAATCTCATTTTCAATCGTATGTACCTAATCTGAAGATCTTCAACTGTTCAACGAGATCTTAATTCTATCACAAGCATGTTAATCGAACAATGTAATTTAAATACACCTTAGGTGAATAAAGACTCGACGCCTCGGACACCTTACTGGCTCGTTTGAGCGACAAGGTCAGTCAGCCACTTCGCAAATACAGGTCGAAGATTATTTTTATGGCATATCAACTTTACTTCGATGCATCCCGTATTTAAAATCCTCCGATTTCGCAATGCCTCACAGATCGCTTCCCCAAGTGTGAACTACAGCGCGCCGCGAGGCAGGCGGCAAGCGAGGAGCGGAAGCGCTGCGCCCGTCCCCAAATCTTACAGGTCAATGGGATCCAACAGCGCCCGATCTGACAGTTGCCTTCAACGATTCACCTCAGCGCCAACGAAAAGCAGAAGATTAATTATAGACCTAATGGATACGTAATGAATAAAATAAGGATTCTCCAGGGAAACCCGATTTATCCGACTGAACAAATACATTTTCTACAAAATATCATTGGATATTGAATTCCCATTTTTTTTTATTATTGAAACTCTCCAGCCGTTACTGTCATTTATGAACCACTTGATAAACTATTTTATAATAAGTATTGCTTGTTAACACGTATTGTTTAAATTATTTCGCAATACTGTGGATGTCAGGATACCCAGTTTCATTTGACAATCACATAATATCGCAACTAACATGTCGGGCCCTTAAAACCTGGCTTTCCTAGTTAACGTCTAGTTGCTCTAACCGAACTACCGAGAAACTAACAATTTGAACAGTTTGTGTCTTTTGTATTGTCCGAATTAACAATTACATTTCATTAAATGTGTCAATAATAAGTCTATCAAATTTCTGAATATACTCTAACTGAATCCTTTATTTTCTCTCCTTACACTCGGCTCTTCGAGATCGCACAAACGTCAAAGAGTTCTTAACCCCGCGGCACGCGCGGTGGATCGCTCACAAGACTGAGCTGTTCTTCCATTGATAGAGCGTCATATCAATGTTTGAGAACACCGTCCTTCTCAGAACCACTTTGATACAGTTCACAGATGTCATATCTTCCTGTTCGTGACAACAGGCCTTCTACTGTCGTCACCAAAATAGTCTCAAAGTCAGGCTATATCTTGTTCTTATCATTGTTAAAAATTGAAGTTTAATGGAGTTTTAAAATGGCGATGTCAGTAAATGTGTTAAAAGTACGTATGCCTAAAACACCCAATAGTCAGTTTGTGAAAAAAGATTACAATTCAAATCAGTCAGTTCATAAACAGTGGAACGATCCTCGATTTTTTCCTTTCTTTACCTATAAAAATCCACGTTACTAAAATATAGTGTCTTCTCGTAAAGTTATCCTCTCGTAAAGTTGCAAAATCGAAATGAACTCTTGGAAGTAGTCGTTGACATCTTGAGTGAAGAGGTCATCTTCACGTGGACAAAATGCCTTCTATCTTCTATCTCAACCTTTCTCTTCATCATAATATCTGAGCTGCCGATCCGGGTGACCGACATCGCTAAGGCAACAGTGCAGTGGTGATCAAGGGCCGAATGACCGCGGGCTCGGATCCCGCCTCTGGCATGGTTGTGTTCGTCCTTTCACCACTCAACTCCACTTCATTTAATATACAATACCCGTAACGTTAATAAAAAGAGGTCGCTATTGACCTCGTATTTATTGCGATTTATAAATAAAAACAAAAAAATCCGAGCTGATAATTGTAGAAGTAAATACTGATTGTAGAAAAAAAAACTAATTAGTTTTCTTTTAAATCATTTAAACTATTTCACTTTCGAATTAAACATGTATAGCTTTGTTGCCGTAATTTACTTTATCTTTAAAATCTATTAAACGATTCTTCAGCACAATTTTTAATATAAATGTCAAGGAAAACAATTTTCTTCAAAATCTAACAAGCGAAATAACGAGAGTCTACTATCTTTTCGTCTCAACGAAACCTCTTCCATGACCCGCAGCCTGCAGTCGCATGCGCGAACTGCGACCGGCGCGTGCCCGTGCATGCAGCATGCAGTGCGATCGCGGCAGAGATGCGAGGAACTCACCACAGTGAGGCTGTCGAGCTCGCCCAGCCACTCGTTGAGCAGACGCTCGGGGTCGTCGGGGTCGGCGTCGGCGTCCGCGTCGGCTTCCCCGTCGGCGTCGCCGTCGCCGTCCGCGTCGGCGTCGGCGTCCGACTCGGGCTCGGCCTCGCTCGTCGAGTGGTACGACGAATCCTCATAGGCGTCCATCGAGCCCTGCAACAACACGACACACGCCCTCAGCGCACAAGCTCTTCCCTCACTACCACATTCTTCGCGAAATAAGACAGAATTTCCAAGCTTTGCAGAACATTTCAGACTATTTGATACAATAAGATGTTGACGGCATCTGTTACAGAAGCGAATCTTCAGCATACTCTACATAAAATGCACTCGTAGGAACTTGAACAACTAGCAGAAAACGCGGTAAAGGGAAAAGTATCGAGGGGAAAACAACGGTACGATTACATATCGCCCATTCAAATGCTGTTTTAATGCGATGAAATTAAATCTAACTGACACTGCAATTATGTCGTCATCTAGAATTACATCAGAGGATTTTGACGAGTAAATGGCAATACGAGAAAATCGTACATCTACCATCTGACTCAAACGCAAGGGAGAATGCGAGTCCGTTTGCCTCTCAGATAATATGCCATGGTGAACAAGTGGTGCAAAAAACCTGAATTTGACAGAAATACCACAAAAATGCTCTTCTCTCCTTCCCTGTGTTCTTGAAAAACTAGTGATAAAAAATGTCATTTTTCGAATTTCTTATCATGCGCGACTAATACGAAGAAAACTGGCCTAAAAGAAATCGAAGAATGTAATGGCCTTATACGCTGTGTATTCAGAATTCTTCCCGATTGCAACGATTCTAGAAAAAACAAACACTGCGATGCGATATCGAAAAAAACATGTAAGAGATAAACAAAATGACATATAGTTACGCCAGGAATTTATAGTTTACGAAGATAACATCACCTAAATAATTAAACAGAAAGGGTTTCAGAACTCAAAGCAAAGCACTGACGAATGGATATTTTTAGACAACTCGCTTGAAGACGAGAAAATGAGCTAAGAATGTGAACTCACAATAAAAGGATTGGCACAGTGAATCATATTTTGGTTTCTATATTACAATGGTTTGTACTTTCTAAAATAAAAAAATATCTTGACAGCTCGACATGCAATCTAACTCGCAATACGTACATACTCATTTCCGATATCGCATAAACACGTGTCATTATTAGATAAGAGACGCTGCGAAGACTCTTTCCACTACACCGCGAGGAGAACTCGAGTTGCATTAATCAAGGTTATAGAGAAGCGTACGTATTAGGGCAATAACCCCGCGCCGCTTGCATCTGTCCGAATTTCGCCGCCGGGGCGTCCGCATGGCGTGGCGTGGCGTGGCGTGGCGTGGCGTGGCACAGCCTCCCGGCCGCCAAACACTGCTTTCCGCTCCCAACCCGGCGCGGGCGGCCCGCGCGCCCTGCCCCTCGCTTCCGCCCCCGCGGCTAATGAGGAAGTGGCGGCGGCGCCTGGGAACGCGCGAGCCCCGCGGCGGCGGGCGACAACGGAACGGTGGCGAAGCAAGCGCGAGGGCGGTTTCGGTGGCAGTGTCTATGACGGTGAGGGCCCACGACGAGGTTAGAGGTCAGCCGACGTGGGGGAGGGCAGAGAGCGAGGTCGAGGACAGAGAGCGATGGGAGAGAGTGAGGGCGATGGGAGATAGTGAGGGCGAGGGAGAGAGTGAGGGTAAGGGTAAGGGTAAGGGTAAGGGTAAGGGCGAGGGCGAGAGGGAGAGGGAGAGGGAGAGGGAGAGGGAGAGGGAGAGGGAGAGGGAGAGGGCGAGGGCGAGGGCGAGGGCGAGGGTGAGGGTGAGGGTGAGGGCGAGGGCGAGGGCGAGGGCGAGAGAGAAGGTGAAGCGAGGGTAAGGGAGAGGATGGTGGGTAAAAGAGAGGGTGAGGGACAGCGCGAGGGGAGCGGGTTAGGCAGAGGGCGAGGGTAAAGGCGAGGGAGAGGGAGAGGGCACACGGCAGAAAGCCATCGCTCCTCAGCGCTGCCCGACCTACACTTTCGTCTCCGCACGAGCCGTTCGGCTCTAGATCACAGCGGACTCGCTGAGGAGGACCCGCCGGAAGCTTCTGCTCAGATTTCGGTACCCGATGAGCCCGCCCCCGCCCGAGCTCCGCGGGTCGCGCGTCACAGGGAGGAAAAAAACTTCATCAAAGGATCGGGTGTCTGGAGTTTTCTGCATGGCGGAGAGAAGATACAACATTGATACATGATCTCATGTTAATTCGGCAAAAGAAAGAAGTCCAGCAGGTGATGTGCCCTGCAATATGATTTAATAACGATCCGTAATAACTACACTAGATAATTCATCCGAATGTTCGTAATCTTAAGACGCTTTTCAGTAATGTTGTAGAGCTATTCTTTTGCACGCAAAGAGTTAAATAGTTTGTTTTCTGAAAATAATGAAATACTGGTTAATTTGGATTTTGCCAATGAATCTTACTTGAACACTGCCATCTGGTTTTGTAGCTACAGACAGAATATATGGGAATTCTTGGAACTACGTTGTATATTCCTCGATAGAAACTCCATATAAATAACTATTCCCGATGGAATCCCGCAGTCACGCCATCTGCACTTTTATCGTTTTCACATTCAGGATCCCACCCAAAATAGAAGCAATAAAGTATAAAATTAGATGTCCTACTTCATAATAAAACAACAAATAATAATCCTTCGAGGAATCCGAACTGACCAGCAAAAGGTTTTAATGTTGGTGTCGAGATGAATTTGGAGTGATTCGTACCATAATAAACAATATACTTCAATTTTTTGTGAAATGTACAGAATGTATGTATTTGAATGTACTTGCGAAATGTATAGAATGTATGGTAATCGATGAATGCGGCTTACAGCCCAATATTTACTAATGCAATGTTCGGAAAACTGCTGTACGAGCGACAATTACCAAAACATGGAACTCCAGCCGCAATACGAATATTTGCGTACAAACAAACGCACCACACAAAACTAAGTCAACAATCTATAAATGAATTTCAATTAGGAAAAGTTCAGTTGCTGGTATACCTTCGAAGATATTTACAAATGTCAGGAACGCTATCACTAGCGAAACTGTAGTACAACTGCAGAGTCCCGAAAACTAAAACATACCATTCCTAGTAGTGAAGCAGACTACTGTAAACATTCGAATCGAGCAACAGTTCAAATTTCTAAAATTTACTGGCTCAGATGGCTCAGGGCATCAACTGATGTTACAGCTGTGCGTATGACCCGGAGGTCCTAGGGTTCGAATCTCGACGTTGGCAGGATTTCCGACACCTAGATAGCTAGGTCGAATTCGTCTGATGTCTGGAGGAACAATCTAGAAGCCGGCTTCTCTGATCTGTAGTTTTTCGTGGTTTCTCTGACCAGGCAAAAGCACTACGTACCCTAACAAATGGGCCACGGATCCCTCGCAATCTTTCCTTACCATTCCTTACCCTATTCCCCCTTACTTAGATACTCTTACACTTACATGCACTACACTAGCACGCATTGCGTGAGACCATTCGAAATCTTAGAGCTTGTCCCGTATCAGGTGGTACCCAACTGGTGGGAGATACCTGGTTTAGGGAAACCGCACTAGCCCCTGTAGGATTTCGTCATCCAGAGGGTAAGATCACAGCCACTTCTCAAAACGGAAGATGACCTTCACGGAGACAGCAACTAATGACAGTAGCAGTTGACGCGCCAGGAAACACCAATCAATCTAAACTTGAAGATTATCCATTCGCATTCAATCGTACTAACGAGTGCGAGCGAGAAAATAGTGCGCGCGTACTAGAGTGGAAAGCGAAGCGGCGCGATTAATATAAATCTGACTGCTCTCCGCGTGGAGGCGAGTGCTCCGGAGCGCCCCCGCTGCGCCTCCCGCGAAGGACGGCCGGCGCGGCGCCCTCGCAGCCTGGCCTGCCGCGCCGCTGCTGCCGCCCGCAAAAAGTGTGCGGGGGCAGGGGCGGGGTGGCGGCAGTAGCGGGTGCGGCGGTGGCGGGCGGGGGGGCGGGGCGGTGAAAGGCGGCGGAAGCCGGGGAGGGGGGCGGAGAAGGCAGCGAGCGGGCGGCGGGGTCCAACAGTGTCAGCCTCTCGCCTTCGCCAGCCACGCCGCAGTTGCGCGGCCTCGCCGCGCCGCCTTCGGAGCCGAGCCGGTGGTCTTGCTTTAAGTTCTGGAGCGCCAACCTTTGCCTCCCCCCCCCCCCCCGAGGTAAATGAGCCTCACTTCAACAATTTCTGGAAAGAAAAATTGGAGCTGCTTTTGCGTTTTCTTTCAGGAATTTTCCCTCAAAACATCCCGCTTCATCTGAACGGCCACGTTTCGTGCGAAAGTGATATACTGGTAACAGACAGATTTCAGAAAGAAGTAAACAGACAATTTCAAACATTACTGTCGATAAGAAATACTTCTAAAGAAAAGCACAGCTACCACAGAAAACTAAGAAAACAAACTATTGTAATCGTAAGGTTACTTAAAACCACTAGAACTACGTATGAGATACAAATCACCACTCTTCACACATTTTCGAGATGAAGACTTTTACCGGCCATAACAAATCAACAGAATTTTAATTGCTCTACATTCAACGCAGTCGAGATCTGCATATCTTCCTCGTGGAAACGCTCTGTAAGTGCAGCTAAAACAATGAATAAGAGCTACAAAATGGCTCGCGAGAAGTACAAAAGCGCTTTCTCATTTACTCGGCTCCACTCGGAAGCGCGGGAGGGCCCCTCGCGTGCTGTCCCGGAGCGGGCGCGGGCGCGGGCGCGGGCGGCGCGTGAGGGTGCGGCCGCGGCTGTGTCAGCGCTTAGCTGCCCCTCCCCGCGCTCGCGTCAGCAATCAACTTGGCAACATCAACAAATGCGCAGTAAAATAACCAAACCGAGACGGGAGCGGCGTCAAGGAGGACGTACGAGAGACCTTTCCACCAAATTCATTGTTGCTAGTTTGTGAAACTAGACGGATTGCAGTTGATCTTCGAAAACTGAATCAAGTTCTACATGGATTGACATCCTCTAATCAATTCTCAAGGTGGGCAGAATGTTCCTATTTTTTGTCATAAAAATATTAGAATTTCTCTTAGGCCTACTCTCAACAGCCTCGGTGCCCTTAGTGGATTCTTACCATACCAGGAAATACATTT